AGCGTGCAACATTTGTTTATCCATTTACTTTGCCGCCGTCTTGATTTAAGTACTCGTTTGCCCATGTCAAATGCTCAGACAGAGTGTACTTCGCGGATTAATGAAATGTTTAGGGCATTAAGGTTATAATGAAACCTATCTAGCAGCCCAATTGGTTTTCAGCTGGGCGGGTGGGAAAAATTGGTCAGCCGTGCTGCCGTCAAATCATTCTGTCTGCTCCTATATACGGTCGGTTCGGGACAGCAACCAGTAAACCCTCCAGCCATCAATCCATCGATTTTGCCATGACGTTAAGATGCTCATACGTCCAAATTAACTTATCTGCGGGATTGTTGATGCAATGGCTAAAGCCTAGTAATTTCGGTCTCCGACGCCCAAACTTTATCCCTGTTATGAAATTGTCCTAGCGTGTAGTACTCATCTCAGGCACATTTAATCCCTTCAAGCCAATACCATCTTTGAGCAGTTATCTCGCGCATCTGCATGTGAATGCTTTGTGTCAGCATGGCGAATATAAAGGTGCTCTTATCAGTTTCTTTTCGTTTCTCGCCCCAAACTGTGTAGTACTGTAAGAATCGGTAACGTCCTTGTTTTCTAGAACCATCTCTGCCCCAGTCCTGATTGCAGCGCATGGCATTTATCGCGGATCTGTTTTCACGATACAACGGTATCTTGCGTCAGTAAACCGGCATTTCAATCTAGAGTTGCTGTATGGTTTCCTATGTGCTATGAGGCCCGGTGAGCACTTGTCGTGGAGTCCACACCATTGGCTACACCGACTATCCTCACAATCCGAGCCGGTGCTCAGATCGGGGATCATAATGTATGGAGTTGCGTCAAGGCCCTGAAACTTTTGATGGATTCTAGTGCAACTAAACTCCGCGCTGTGCGACGTGCTATGATTCCGAGCACCTCACATAACATCATCTGTGCACGCAGCTGCCAACCCCACAATCCCTTCATGATTCGGTTCCTGCCATATGGCTGTCTGCTATCGTCCTCACAGTACCTGTTCCAAGCAGCAGCAAAATACCATCGTGCATAATGGCTGATATCTGTTGTAAAGAACGAACCAACACACTCCGACCCGTACAAACTAGTTTAGTGCATTCCGTAAAATTATAATCCGTGCACCAAGCTTCTATTAAAGCCCTATCCTGCCTCCAAAATCAACAAATATCTTCTAAAGCTGGACTAGCTTCGGTGTGGATGTACCCGTGCTTACACACAGTACCTTCAAGGGATGCTTGTGCACGGCAGCAATGAAATCTCCGAATTGTTTACCCCACAGCCTTTGCTTATAAACCGATAAGTCGCAATCCACACCACCTTTACTTACATTACTGAAACCAGCGTTCTGTGTAACCCACAGCCTTGGTGCAATCCCCCGTTGTGAACAATTCGCTACACGTCGAACTGAAGAGAACCTGGGCATAGGGCATAGGGTCCACGCCTGTAGGGCGCGAGCCAATGCCACTCGTCCACGAAACAATCAAGATTTCAGACCAACCAGGCAAACTTAATAACCACTATATGAACATAGCTACGTCTCACTTTTGAGTTTGCCGCGTTTAGCCATAGAAGATTCCGAAAAGTTTCCCATGGGATCTGCGACGCTCGATGTTCCATCACGGGACAGGTTGCATGTTGAGCTCATCTTCGTGTGTTTTGTTCCTGCCTGTTCCCGTTGCAAGGCTCTGGGGACATCTGATGGGAATGCGACGTATGTGTGTAGGTGTCAACGAGGCAATTGTTCTATGACGCGAACGGCAGCTGGATCAATGGGCCTACAAGCGTCTAGCATATTCATGTGTGTACATATACATATATATATATATATATATTATACCGATTCACACATATATGTTCATACTTTGCATACATATACATGCATGTACCTTATGTATGTTGTCTGTAGGGGGATACAGAAGTTTCATCTATTCCACGATTTGTCACTAAAAACCGATACCGACGTAGGGTATGATTTCCAGTGCGGCTGTTTATGTTTGTGTCGAAAATGGGAGCCCAGGATATGTTGTTTTTTCTGGGTGTCGGTGGTTTTTTTGAGTGAAATTTAGGAGGTACGGTTAACCCCGGCCACCCCGCCCCCCCCCCCCCACCCTCGTCTTCCCCAAATTTTCACGCACCCCGTATGTGCATGACATGCGCTCGGTTAAAACCCCAGACTACGCGAGCAAGTGCATTGATATCGATATCAAGTTGACTACAGGTTGAGAATGTATTCTGTGCACTGTGCACTTGCGGTCCCAGCAATAGATCCCCATGTATGTATCGATGAACTTTTGTATGTAAACCTCGCCTGCCTGCCGAGAGCGAGTGCCAAAAGGTAGATGTTATACTACTTTATGTTCACTTGCGCATCGAACAGCCCAGCTCTAGTCCATGCAATCTCAAGTTTCCCGGCTGCTAACTGCACTGCATTGTGCTACCATAGCACAGGAAACCTCACAACACATTACTCTGTTTGATAGACCTAGTCAATCTAGTCAATTTAGTATTTTAGTGGAGAGCCATGCGGTGCCGTGACGCTGAAGGATGCTTTTGATTCCGTTAACGAGCTGTCCTGCATTTCCCGAATTCTGAACTCTCAAATCTTAGCCCCCGCGTTTTGACGAGCGGTTTAAGGATCGGGAGCTTCTGCGGCTTGTGCTGTGAATTAATGAATGTCAAGGGAAAGAAAAACTCCTAACTGCGAACATGCCCACAATCTCATGAACCTGCGGCTCCGTGGCTTTCAGCAATCCTGGTTTAAAGCTATCGGGCCCCGGGGGCAGGATCAAGTTGTAGTTTCAAGGGTCTCGCTTCAGAGAGCTTTTGGGTATAGTATCATACGTTCATGCGACTGCCCAGTTTCAAAAGTACTTTGCCAGCATAGATCGGCCGCTTAATTTCACAGACTGTTACATTCTGTGTGCATACCATTTAGCGGACTGTGTTCATTTTTTATACTTTCGAGAACTCCATGTTGCGGAAACAGTTGTTTCCAGAATGACAACCATTTCTGCGATCATAAGCTGGGCTACGCCCCAAGAGCAAGCAGATGTATCTTAGCAATGCGTGCATACATGGATTTCGAGCACAACCATTACGATTGCTGTCGCTGTCATGCTATTGCTACTACTACTGCTACTACTATTGTTGCCACTACTGCTACTATTGCTAATATTACGACTGTTACTATTCCTGTTACCATCGCTACTAGTATACATGCTATTACTAATACGATCACGACTACTGTTACTTGTACTATTACTATTGCTACATTACGATAAATACTAATATTGCCATTACGGTTACCATAACTAACATTACTACTAGTACTATGGTGATTACAATTACTATTACTCGTACTATTACTGCTACTATTACCATTACTCATACTATTACTAGTACTATTACTATCCATTACTATTACAACTAGTATCCTATTACTGTTAATACTACCATTGCTATTTCTATTTCTATTACTATTACTCTTGCGATTACTATCACTATTACTATTGTCCTTACTATTACTATTACTAGTGCCATTACTATTACCATCACTATTACTATTACTATTATTCCTACTAATACTACTGTTACCAGTACTAGTACTAGTACTAGTACTGCTATTACTACTACTACTACTACTACAACTACTACTGCTGCTACTTTTGCTTGTATTGTTACTAATACCTGGGTAGTATAATTATACCTTATACTGTGTTTCTACTTCATTTACACTTTATGTAAATAATGTTGGTATTATACTTCGACTAAATATTCCTATACTATAATACACACTATACACTATACACTATACACTACACACTAATACTAATACTAATACTAATACTAATACTAATACTAATACTAATACTAATACTAATACTAATACTAATACTAATACTAATACTAATACTAATACTAATACTAATACTAATACTACTACTAGTACTAGTACTAGTATTAATATTAATACTAGTACTAGTACTAGTACTAGTACTAGTACTATAGTACTAGTACTAAGACTAAGACGAATATACTATTACTATCAGTAATATTGTAGCATTCTTAAATGTATATATCTATATATATATATAGGTTCATGTTGGTATATGGTATGTATATACACATATACAAGTACGTACATACATTATGTTAAACAGCCTCCTGACGCAAATGACAGCGAAAATCGCTGTCATGCCCCGCGCACCCCTGAGACAATGACATGGCCACGTATGCAATATTTACAAGCATGGATCTGGAGGGATAGTCTTATTGGAAAGCTTGAACTCTTCCCCCATAGGTATTTGGGAAGTAACAACAGAGGTTTTGTCACAAAGGCCTTTGGGATAGTGTAAGTGCGTCAAACTAACTATTGTAATCAGCAGCGCTTAGTGCTTAGGAATGATGTTGGTAATTGTTCAGTCTTCTATGTGGTAGTGGTGTCATATGGGCTTCAACGATTATGGGTTCTGCAACGGCTTCGATTCGACAGGGAATCCAAATATTATGGCTTTTACACCTCTGTCATAAAGCCCTGAGGCCGTCTAATCTTGCGGCTTCTGCAAGGGTTTTGTAGGAGGTTTGTGGGTTTGGGAGAGACAGGGCTTCGGGCTCTGTGGGTTGACAGACTTGGGCCGTGTCGGACGGAGGATCGACAATTCTGGATCAAACTGAAGCCTAGTAGTAGAGTAGGTAGCCTTTAATCTTTTTGGGGTACTAGTGTAGCCCCTATACAATCCCTATATAACCAAAAAGGTTAACCTTTAGTTCCCCATAATACCCGACAAGTAGGGCAGAGCTATACGGTAGAAGCCCAAAAGTTGGAAACCCATAATCCTTAAGAGTAATGTATAGGGAATGACAGCTCTATTTGGCTTTAGTCCGCTTTTCAACTTTATCGGGTTTACTATAGATCTTCCGCCCCAAACCCTACTTGGAGGTTCATGGGTAGTTATAACTGGTACTACACCTCCAAGTAAAAGTGTGAGGCACACTCCCAGCGCTTGGACGTCCTGGTGCAGAACATGTTGCCGTTTGCACAGCACCTGTGCCTGTGCTACAAGCATCTAGTCGTTCCTTCTTTCGGAGTGTACCCAGAGACTCCAATACCCCTTAATTAGGGAATATTCCTTAAATCATATTAAGGATCCTACTATAATTTAAGGTATATTCCTTAATTAAGGGATATTGGAGTCTCTGGGTAGGATTCGAGAAGCGGTCTGAACGATCATGAATGCTGAGTACCGGTCTAAACCTTTATACTTCCCATGTGCTCGTACCGATGTATGCCCCAAAACCCGATGCTATTTTTGAGGGCCCCAGTTTTCTGGGTTAGACACGTTAGGCTATTTAAACATGTGTTGTTCCTTAGTCGAAGAATGTTGTTATCGCTGCCTGAACAAGCGCTGTTTTGAGATCGCCTGTGCCAGCAGACAGAAGGCAGTGTGATGCATAGAGGTCGACATGGGAGGCGTCTAAACCGGTTGGTTATAAGATACTTTCGTTTCTGCGTTTCGGTAGGGCCCCTAAGATTGGGGCGTTATCTAGGGGAGCCGAACCAGAGGATTAACTATAGTTAGTGTTTCTTACACCATATCAATTCGGGGTTTCTGTGTTTCTCGCCCAGGACGTATGCTTCTAGTTTGTGTAAGCATCCCTCATAGAGGGGCGGAGCCCTGAACCCTGAATCCTAAAGCCCAAATCCTAAAGGCCCTTATATAAGGATCCCTCATGAGAATCTATACAGGAACCCTTACTAGGGACTCTTAGGGTTTAGAGTTTAAGGTTCAGGGTACCCTAAACCCTATACATCCTAAACCCGACAGGGTTCAGGACCCCTTCAGTTTGCGTCTCAGGCGGCTGGGCGCTATTCCGCACGGGTTTGTTTTCTGTGGCTCTCATCGTCGCCGCAACCTCAGGCGATAGCCACCGTGTCTGTGTGTGCGTGAGCCAAACCCAGGCGCCAGTACGGAGCAAGGGTTTCGGATTTAGGGGATTTGAAAATTTAGGGTTTGGGGGTTTAGGGATTAGGGCTCAGTCACTCAGTGTCACGAGTGAAGATCAATTGAGGAAGCTATGGGAAGAGTATTCGCATTAGAACACAGCGGCGAAAAAGCATGGAAATGTACCAAAATCATCGCCCACAACCCCTGCACCTCAGTCTAAGTCCCAAACCTTGAATCGTACAGCCGTCAAGCCTGAAAATGTCCGAGGTGCCGTTGCCGACGCTTTTTGCAAGGTGTGGAAAAGCCAGGAATCCAAAAAGCAGGAGCAGGTTAGTTTCGTAGAGTGCTCTCCATAGCCTCGCGCTACTGATCTATAGAATGGTTTGAGTGCTTTGGACTTAGGGTTTGCCTGAAACTGCTAGAGCCAACCTGCTTTATTGTAGGGCTTCTTCATGTGGGTAGTTGTCAAAATTATGGTCCCTTTCTTTCTGGGTAGGCATGGGTCCAGAGGACGCGCCTCTCGCATCAAATTCAACAAGCACCTAATTAGATTGGAAAGCAGTATGCACTCACAGTCCTTAAGGGCCCGTGGCGCAGAAATCTGCGATGAGAGGCAAAATCGAAAAAGGGATCGCCAGATGAACCCAGCAGCCACTTCCAGGGCAAAAAGCTGTCTGGCCAATCCGAGCGCCTCTCATTTGAAAGCACTGACACACGCAACCAGGCTCGGGAGCGTGGACCCTCCAAAAGCGTGACAACAACAACAGCTGGCCCATGAACGACCACGAAGCCAGCAACAAACCTACAGACGACAACAGGGAGAGCTGATCATCAGACTTCCCTGCGGTCCAGCTTTGAGCATTCCTCCAGGGGCTGGGAGAGGCAAGAACAAAGCTAACATGCCCCACACTTCAAAAGAACTGTGCCCACTCAAGCATTCCCAAATGTGCAGTGACAGCGTGTGCACATCGAAAAAGCAGAGCCGAAAGGTGTAATGTCACATCTGAGGAGGGTCACACGGCCAACTAGTTGGCAGGTGAGAATTGCCAACTTGCTTCGTATATACACATACATATGTCGAGCACTCTTACGTTCCAGCAAGTTCAAGCTACTCAGGGGGCAATCCGGCAATCGGCTCAGCAGTATTCCCCACTGGTGCTCAAGGTAAGCCTTCGCAGCCGTGAAGACCGAGGCATAAGACATCAACATGAAGTGGATGCGCGGGTTGAACGCATAGCCAAACGTCAAACTCTGAAGGCTGCTGCGTAGCTGGCTGCTCTCCAGGCTCCGGTAGAACACATAGCCAAACGTCAAACTCCGAAGGTTGCTGCGTAGTTGGCTGCTCTCCAGGCTCCGGTTGAACGCGTAGCCAAACGTCAAACTCAGAAAGCTGCTGCGTAGCTGGCTGCTCTCCAGGCTCCGGTAGAACGCGTAGCCGGACGTCAAACTCCGCAGGCCGCTCCGGTTGAACGCATAGCCAAACGTCAAACTCCGCAGGCTGCTGCGTAGTTGGCTGCTCTCCAGGCTCTGGTTGAACGCATAGCCAGACGTCAAACTTCCCAGGTTGCTGGGTAGTTGGCTGCTCTCCAGGCACCGGTTAAACGCAAAGCCAGACGTCAAACACCGCAGGTTGCTGGGTAGTTGGCTCCTCTCCATGCTCCGATAGAACGCATAGCCAAACGTCAAACTCCGCAGGTTGCTGGGCAGTTGGCTGCTCTCCAGGCTCCGGTTAAACGCAAAGCCAGACGTCAAACTCCGCAGGTTGCTGGGCAGTTGGCTGCTCTCCAGGCTCCGGTTAAACGCATAGCCAGACGTCAAACTCCGCACGTTGCTGGGTAGTTGGCTGCTCTCCAGGCTCATGACGTACCGCCTTCCGCTACGCGGCCATGGCATGCGGTACTGGGGCTACCGAGATTCCTCAATGGGCGACTCGAGCCCTTTATGGTCCCTAATTGGGTACCCTAAACATTAGGTGCCGTATTATAATCGGGACCCAAACAGGGACCATAGTTTTGACAACCACCCATGTAGCTGCAGACCAGCACAGACCCTGGTGTTGAAGGGAGGCTCAAACCGCGAACCTCGTGAGCTTTCTGGGTTTGAGGTAACGTTGTTGACCCCATTGCGCAGGCCTCATCGCCTACCTGCATGAACAATCTCGCAAGAGGTCCTTTGCCTATTTTCAATCACCGGAAGCCAGGAGGGGTGATAACAAACGCAGTGATTGTTGGATTTTCGGGGAGACAGGAATTATAAGGACCATGTTCTATAGAGCTATCCCACACCCAACTCTCGCACACTCCCGAGGTGGCTTCCAATCACCCAATGGAGGGGCCTGAGTGGTTGGATTCGCTATTGCCGGCCATGGCTTCGGGTTCCCTAAAATGTTCGGGGCATCCACAACCTTACAGCAATGCCCCTAGTCAAGTTCTTCAGGCCTTTATCTTAAACCCTGAAGCCTCAACCCTGAATCCCAAAGGCATGCCCGTGGCATGATCAAATCCAGGCTTGCGCCTTGCGAGAAGAGACGGCAGAGTCCCTCAACTCGGGTTCAGGGGATTGATTTTGCATTGCGAGCTTAAGAATCCTATATGAGGTGAAAAAACTTATGTACGACAGCTTGAGCGATACCTTGACCTACAATGACTTGCTCATTCACCGTTCGTCCCGTTCCTCTAGTCCCCTGCGTTGGGGTTTATTTTCGGATCCCGTGAACCCTAAACACTTGTTTGAAAGTTCCTGCGGTTCAAGAATCCGTATCCCTACATATTTGTAATAGGAAATGTATACTATACCACAAAACCCTGTTCTATTGAATAAGGCGCCTATTTCAGAGCCATGGACAGCTTCGCCGAGCCCTGGATTCCCGGAAGTGACAGTGAGCGAGAAAGCATCAGCTCTGAGCAACTTGCCAAGGCCATTGAAAACCTATTGAAATCCTTATCATAAGGATCCTACTGTTTAGGGGACTATACTCGGTTTAGGGTCTAGGGTTCAGGGTTTAGGAAGTTTAGGAACCGTGACTGTGACAGGTGCTGCAGGGCTTGGCATTGACGAGCCTCCTCGCCCTGGTGGCTCAACTCCCCGTGCTGATCGTACCCGAGCTCGCCGCAGGTCACTTGGAGGTTCATGGGTAGCTCATAAGGAGGCCTAGTAGGTAACCTTTAACCGTTTTTGGGTAGTATAGTCTCTATATAGTCCTTACATAACCAAAAGGTTAACTTTTAGTTCCCATGATACCCGACAAGTCGACAAGTAGGGAGGGGTTCGAAGTACTGTAGCTGAGGTGGTGGGCGAGTATCATGATAGCATGGGTTATAGGGACTACTATGACGGACCTGAGGCGACGATCATAGGGCATAGGGATCCATTCCCCCATGCCCTACTGACTGAACCCTAAACCCTAAATCCCAGACGCTAAATCCTGAATTTTAAATCCTACCTAAACCCTAAACCTTAAAACCCTGACACCCTAAAAACGTAAACCCTAAGAAGCAGGAAGACTGAGGCGCCTCGGGCCCGGTGTTGTTGGTCTCCGGATCGCCTCCGGTGGCCGTGCACTGGGTCGATGCTCTCCTCGCTCCCTATGCAGCTTGGAGAAGCGGGTTTAGGGTTTAAGGATTTTGAGGTTTCTTTGGGGGTTTGTTTGGGTCTGTAACTATGTCTAGAGTCTTGAGGTCTTGAAGCCGCAATTGCGGAATTCAGGTCCGGCTCATCACCTTTGTTGGCAGCGCCCTCTTTGTGTCAATCTACGTGATCAACTTCATCAGGTTCGTGAAGGACGCGAATCAGGGCATAAGGTCCAGCAGTTGCGTCCAGAACCGAGGCAGAATATTGTTGACCGCCGAAATGCTAGAATTCTGTGTCTTCCGAACTTGTCAGGACTTCGATACATTTGCTCCTTGTCTTGACTGATGCAATCTGTCGCGTGTCGGCAAGCCCTACTGTACAACTGCAAAACCTGAAGGACCAAATGACCCTTAAAAGTAGGCGCCCTATACCCATATACTATGAATCCCTATATGGTATATGAACCTTAAACCCTTTTAGGGTTCATTTCGTCCTTAAGGAACTATGAACCTTTGAACCCAGGCCTCGTCAACCTGCGGCCCTAAACTTGACCCCCCTAGTTATCCATTGGCCTTGAGCTTAAGCGATATGATATGACCAAAAGATTTGAGACAGAAGTTATGAACGCCATACGCGACCCCAGGATAAAACGCTACTGAAGCCCCTGCGAAAGCCCTAGAATCCTGTCAGGGTCATATGAGCTCTGTACGCGCGGTATATTCTATTCTAAAGACACCTCGAAACCCTAAACCTAAACTGAAGCCCAAATGGGTCCTTATAATAAGGATCCTACTATGTAGGGTGCTAAATTAGGGACCCCTATTTTGGGAAAGTCCCACCTAGAGTAGGCAACCTTTAACCTTTTTGGGTAGTATGGTCCCTATATAGCCCCTATATAACCAAAAAGGTTAACCTGTAGTTCCCCATGATACCCGACAAGTAGGCCCAAATACCTCTGAGACGAAGATGATGGAGCGCTTCCAACTGCTAAAGGAACCCTTATCGTACCCTTATAGTAACCCTTTGAAGGAATCCTAAGGTACCCCCTAATTTTCGGAAACTCCCAAAGACCTCTGAGACGAAGATGATGGAGCGCTTCCAACTGCCCTGCCCGCGCGTGATGGCTGCCGGAGGGCTCCTCTTCATGTCCGTCGGCTCGGCGCTCTATCTCACAGGCACTTTTCAGGGCTTAGGGTTTCCTTTAAAGGGATCTATAAAGGTTCTATAAAGGGGTTTAGGATTTAGGGGTGGGTTTAGGGGTTTGGGTTTGGAGTTTAGGGGTTTAGGATTTAGATTTTAGGGTTTATTTTAGGGTTTAGGGCGGCGCTCTATCTCACAGGCACTTTTCAGGGCTTATATAGGCTTTCCTCTAAAGGGATCTATAAAGGTT